AAGATGCTGCTAGTGAAAAAATATTCCAATGCCTGTTCAGTACAGACTTGAGGGCAGAAACTGTCATGTCTCACAAATGAGTGACACTACAAATGAGTGACACTGTCCACAGAAGGGAATAACCCAACTGAGAGCAAAGGTATTGTACTAATTCCACTGAGCGTCTCTACTGATAGGTCTCTGCAAAAAGTTCTGGCTAAATGAAGGTGCTGTGGTCCGAAGGAAGCCCCGAGGAAACACAATCAGAGACTCTAACTGATGAGCGGAAGATGGACTGTGTAACACTGAAGGCACAAACTCTAAAGCCAAATGTGGACAGTGCATATTGGACTAGAAATCTTTTTACAGTAACTGTCATCACTGATGTGTCATGAAATCTTTGAAAGCTGGTAATATACTAAAGACCATGAATTTAGAGAATGTATGTGTAATTCATACTTTCTATAACATTCAATATGTGACATTAATAGCTCAAGCAGGATATTAAAGTATAAATTCCTCAGCCCACCCTGGACAATAGGTGGCCAGAAGGCTAGCCCTCAATAGCTACCTCCAGAGAAAGCCATCAAGCCTTCAGATCTTTATTCTAAACCTCAATTCTCAAAGATGTGGACCATGGGTGAGTGAAGACACCAAAGCTATTGGAGAAGAAAGAGAGGAGATAAAATTTGTACAGAGAAAGTCTTATCGGCTACTCAATGCAAACTTTGAAGCTGAAGTAGTGAAATTAAGTGGGAAATTAGATTGAAGGGAGGCTGTCCAGAACACAGACACATTTGGGCTCTGGTTGAAAAAGGATAAGCATGGCCATCTACTTACTGAGATTAACTGGATCTTTTGTGTGTGTTTGTAACATTTCCTTCCATATTGTCAGGCAACAGTATGGCCTTAACTCTTTCTTGGCCTTGTTTGACCAGTTAAGCTTGAAGTTGGCTACCGGGTGGCTACAGGATGGCTACAGGGTGAACTGAGCAGATGATAAAAATTTCAGTGTGACAATGATCCTTGTAGGACTGCAAGGCATTTTTAAGACACCCAATGCTGAAAGCTACTTCTTGTTACACTGCAGATGACCCCTATTTGCAGTTGGTATCACTGGTGCCAAGCCTTGGAAAATAGTTCCCTGTGGCAAACACAAACCAGCATTTCTCTTGCAAAGAGCAGATGGATGAGCAGCACCCTGGGCTTTAGGCAAAGCCTGAGGCATTGCACTTGGGAAATTTTCAGTTATCTCTCTTTCCCATGGCTTTATAATTTAAGGAAAGGTTATAGAAGAGGTCAGGCAAACACTGTCATAACCTTGGAAACATTTCTGAAAGTCATAAGGTTACATTGCTTTACTGGTTACACTATAAACTGATCCTTTTTTGTTAATCAAGGCAACTGCTGCAATCTCTTTCTTCACTTTGATGGTGATAAATGCCTTTGGTTCTCAGCATCCCAGTTCACAGTGAATACTTGAGAGTACTGTAGATACATCATCTGGGGTAGCAAGAAGAAAGAGGGGCAACAGCTGCTATTTTAGAGGCCAGTGGATTTAGTGTGCTAGTCTCTTCCTTTATCTACATTGTGTAATGTTGGAACAGTCATATACTGGGAAATACCCTGGACCAGCTGGTTGTGAAGGTAATTTGGGTTGGTATCTCACAGTCTGCAGCTGCCTGGCTTGGATAGAGAGCCACCATTCTCTGAATGAGCCATACCTTAAAATGAGCTTTTGTCATTCATCATGCGTCATTCCTCATCAGCTACAGTCTTGGGTTTGAGTTCTGCCAGGCATGTGGTTTTCATGGGAACTTAGTGCCAGAAGCCCCACAGAAACAGTCTGCATGAAAAATTCATTTGCGTCAAATCACTGCAGCATCTAGTTTATCAAAGCAAGTGCTTCTACTCTCAACCAGTGTAAGCCACAGATGGGAGGTTTTAGGCAATCAGTTGTAAGATTAGGAAAAAATCTGAATATATAACCTGCTCATGCATTTCGAATGTAAAAAATAAATACCCAGTGGCACAGGAACAGTAGGCAGCAAGTCACTGCTGTCCATCAAATACTTTATCAGCTTCAGTAATGGAACACGGATATTTATCTGGGATGAAAACACACTGCTGTATAGTCTGCTTTGATTAACTCGTCACATAAATCCCCTCTTACAAGAATTTTCAGGACATATTGAAGGCATTATTAGAAGTGTCAAGGCTAGAACTGTCAGGCGCTACAGCGTGCAGGAGCCTCAATTGAGCAAGGCAGCAAATAACAAAACCCTCTGAGTTAAAAATGCTTGATTAATTTAACTTTCTTACATGAAATAAAAACCTGAGTTTGTTTTCTAATTTTTCCCTTGCTGTTCAGACAAACATCTCCACTTTAGAACATTATTTTGATTTAGTTTCCAGCTATGATTTCCCCAAGTACCTTTGCCAATTGGATGTCTCAAGTTGGGTGAATTTTTATGAATGACTGGACTGCTGACAAGTGTTAAACTTCCTATAGTTTTAATATTGCCTCAATAATTACATATCCCTTGTATATCCAGAAATAAACATAATTTTTCAAAGAGGTGGTATCAGAAAAAGATGGAGATTGAGTTGAAGTACTTCGGTGAGCTTGGATGTTGAGAGGACATCCCACAGACTGAACTGTTTGAGAGTTCCGAAGAAATCTGTGAAGAGTTTAGAAACACTGCAAAAAGCAATTAGACCCTTGCAAGGAGAAGGAATTTTACATGGTTTTGCTACTAAAAGACCAAGCTAAAAATGAATACAATTAGAAATAAAGTTTTTATAAGATTATCTCAATTTGTATTCCAAATCTCTGCCAATTCCTAGCTGTAGTTTTTGTGACTCTAATCTATTTTTTACAGCCACATAGAATTTTTATTAAAGAATTTCCTGTCTTAGAAAATATTCATTTCATGAGCAAAACAAAATAATAATTAAAAAAAAATCATAAAGCTGGAAAGGTCTGCATTTTTGTTTATATATGAAAATCTAACTATTTTATTTGGATGTTTTATTACAATGCCTCATGAAATTCATACACTGGTTGCTGAATGCTCCCATTCTCCCCTGCATATTGTGCTCCCTAGCTGGATTTTCTCTTCCATCATTAAAGACCTTCTCTCACATGGGATGAGGCTGTCATAGTCCCTTTATGAAGGAAAGAAATTATGAGCCAACAGGGAAATGTTTTGGAATCCAAAATATAACTAATTTTAATTACATGTTCCATTGTCAAGTGTTTTGCCAAAATCCGTATTTTTTTCAAGACAACAAAAACAAACTGAAAGTCTCCATACAGCTTTATTTTAAAGTTTTGTCAACAGTGGGAAACCATCAGGCACCACTGCGTTCGCCCATACAAATGAGTTATCTAGTGTGGGAAAGCTAGAAAGCCCTAAATTTAGCCACAATAAACCCAGAGTATTTCTGCAATGACAATAATGGTACTAAAATTATTACAATTATAATTTAAATCACAGAAGGTCAACTTTAATTTATTCAGGCAGAATTTATTCTTCCCACAAGAACATCTGTGACAGGGGCTGTTGGAAAGTGACAAGTATCACATACTTCATTCTGACTTCTTTTACTAAACCAAATATATTTACCTGAACTAGGTAAATATCAGCACAGTAAATCCAGAGGGCCACTGCAGCCAGGGAATGTTAAACTCTTTGCCCTCCCCAGAAGGAGAGCAAACAGGATCTGCGAGAAACAGGAAATTAATGCCTGAGATTCTCTAGTATAAAGCAAGCATTCCCTCTAAGCCTGAATCAAATGTTGTTCAGGCACTAACTGCTTTCTTCACCATAGTTTTCAAAGTGAGAAAAGGTGTGATACTGCAAAGAGGGTGGAGAATGGTAAATTTGAAGGAAAAATATTAAAATAACCCTACTAAAATTCATTGACTGTTTTAGTCCTAGAACCACACATGTTCCTAAAAAGATAATATTTTTAATCTGTTGTGGGTTTTAGCATATACATTGTTTGTTTCCCCCTTCCCTCACAGTTTGACAGGTAGTTTCTTCCTTTTGTTTTGTTTCTCTTTCATCTGGTGGTTTTCAGGAACAAGAACTGTGTGTTTTGAATTTATAACACAATAAGAACATATTGAATTTAAAGCCCTAGATGTAAAGGCATTCAAATCACTACAAATAATAAAAGGCAGATATAAATTGTCCTAGACTGCTTAGTTGTAAATGCAGGAGTTATGAGTCAAGACTAAGCTGTAGTGGCATTTTGGCTGTCTCAATGTAGACTAAGCCAGAGATGGAATGCCTGCTCAGATCTTCATAAACTGAAGTCCAGTTCCTGTGTAGATTTTTAATACCATTTGCATATGCAAATGACACCATTGTTTATGTAAATTAGACATTTGTTCACACAGCAGAGTAGAAAATGGTCAATATGTCCACACACAATTAGTGGAAGCAACTGTGCTATCCACATACACAAAAGTAACCCTGATTACAAGAAGCAGCTACCAAGTAACTTTCAGGTCAATGGTACGTGTTCAATGCTTCAGCAGCATGCAGTCAATTACATTAGTTTGACAGTTATTGTCTGAAATTGCTAATAAATCCAATCAGGGAAAGAAATTAATTTTCAGATGCAATAATAATAGAGAGATGGCAGTCATAACTTTTAAGACAGGAAGAAAAGCAGAGATCATTTAACTCAGTATTCCTGAAAATAGTTCTGGGAGCACACCTGAGCAGACGTGAGCTGCCATCACTTCACCGTCACAGACCACTCACTGTTCTCTGGCTACAGCAAATACTTCTACAGCATCTACACATGTATATGGTTGTAAACATGCAGATAAGCTAATGAGACACATCCTGAGACTGCTGCAAAGTAATTCATTATTCTGTTTCAGTTATCCATCCAAAAGTAATTAATGCATGCAGACTTTGAACACATCATGCAGGTCAGGTTTGACAGGGAGGCTTTGATAAGTGAGTTGATAAAAAAGTCTTTTCTAGAAATATAAAAGTTACCTCATAATGACTTTGAAAGTCTTTCTCATATCATCCTGTGATGAGATGTATTTCTTTATTTTCAATTTACTTCTCTGTGGCATGTCTAGTCTGAAGCACAAGTAAAATGGCAGCCCCACCAAGAAAAAGGGAAGGAGGGAGAGAAAGTGTCTTTTTCAAGGAACAGAGATCCCTAAATGGTGACCAAAATATCTATGAATCAACACTGAAGGCAGATTTTTGACCCCTGTTATTTAGTCTTATTTAAGAAAGATTGATACAGCTATCAGACTTATCATATATAATTGATGCCATTTTCATGGAAATAAAGGGTGTTCATAAAGTCATTTGACTCTGCTAGTACTTCTTTACTCATAGTGAAATTGAGTAAAAACATGACTTTAAGCTGAACAGAATCCCCTCAGACCCCCAGATTCTTCTTAAACACCCCTACAGGTCTATACACACTTTAGTCTTTACACTTTAGCAATGACACAGCTGTTCCCCAAATGTGTTCAACAACTGTTCTCTAAAATGCCACCAGTTTCATAGTGTAAATGGGTCCTAAAATAGCTAGAACATTATGTCCTTTACCATTATATCTTCCCTCCTGGCTGCCAGATTGTTCTCTTTTCCTTCTTTGATGGATTAAGTAGAACCACAGCAATTTGTTGATTTGAAAACTAAGCAATCTCTTTAAACTGCCTGTGTGCTTATTCACTGCTGTCACTGACTCTACCTGAATTAATTTTGGAGCCTGCATTATAAAAGCCTTATTCATAAGGAATATGCATGTGCAAGCAGTGTTGACAAATCTGATAGAACAAACTAATTTCATACCAATAGTCATCTTTAAAGATTTACCTTTTTGGCTCTGTTGCTGACATTCATTCCCTTCCCTGGTCTTTTTAGGTTGGTTCTGCAAACATTTCACTTTTAAGGAATACCCATTCACAGATGCCCCTCTTGTTGGACTGTGCATAAGTAACTACCATTTACAGCACTCTTTCAAGATTTGTCAGCACCAACAGCACTGTCAAGCATCAGTGTGATTTTTCTTGAAACCAGCAAAGAAAATAGGCCCAATTCCATTCCCACAAACCAGGAACAAATTAATTAACAAATGACATTAGAAAGACATCCTTCTCTGCAACTTAAGTGCTCCCTTCTTCTCCATTGAGAGGTGTGTGGGATCACAAGCCAGCTGTTAAGGTTTGGCTATGACAGCTCTTCACTCAGAGGGTATAAATACAGTTATGTCTCAGAGTAAGAAAAAAAATAATTGTTACCCCAAAACCTCAAAATGGAGCAAAAGACTGCACTGGTACAGTAGGGAACATGAGCAAGGTCAGTTTACTCTGCCTTTTCCTTTAGTTCACCAATAGATGGTGGCAAAGACCCCCTCTGAAGCTACCACTGGATTTGCACAGTTAACATGTTTAAATCCCTCTAATAACATGTAAAATGGGAAAGTCAAATGCAGATGTCTCCCTTGCAACAGCCACCTATGAAAAATTTACTAACTTTCTTATTCCTAACATACCTGTACATAAATGTTCTGTTTATGCTGGCTTTCTGTATTTTCAGATAGGAACGTCGTATTTGTTTCCTCTTTCGTAAAGTAACAATAGTGTATCTCTTTAATTTCATGCAACAGAACATAAAGAGGAACATCAAAGCAAGCTCTTCTAAAATAGGTTAAGAAATGACACTTGTTTGTAAGACCTTAGCACATGTCTGCCTGAAAGGGAGGAGGGACTGGAGAAGAAATATTCACGGAAAGTGATTTCAACCTCTTGCTCCTGTATGTAACATTTTGAAGGGCAGGTTGCTCTCTTCTGAATCACCAACAACAGAGGCAACTTCGTGTCATTTCCAGAGACTCCACCTAGCTGCAAGCCATTGAGCCTGTGTCTGGCAGTATTTGGTAGTAAAATCAGCAAAGATTATTTTGGTTTGATTCAAAGGCTTTCAAGTTCCGCCTTTATGCTTCAGGACGCCATGAAAGAAATCTCCTGCCTGACTCAGGAACAGAGGAGTAGGAGTAGAGCACTGACAGTGGCTGGAACATGGAACACTAAGGGTGGCTAAGTCACTAGCACAGGTGATTTATGAAACAGGAGCTCTAAAAGTTTACAAAGAACTCACCACAATACTGGCTGAAGTAAACCAGATCTGCTAGCCAAATTACAGAGCACATAATGATATCCTGCCTATCTTAATATGTCATTGTTTTCAGTTCATGGTGATATCTGCCACCTGATCTTATGATCCTGTGTAATGCTGCCAGTAAATGACTGTCCCATTCCACATCAGCTTTTGTGAGATGGCAAAAAAGAAGTTTTATTAATCTTTTATTTGAGAACAAAGAGCTTTGAGGTCCTTGGGTTTAAATTGATTTAAAAAAAAAAAAAAAAGGCGATTTTAAGTTTTAAGTCTCTCTGCTGTCAGGTTCACCTCCAAACACAACTGTGCCAGTTTCTTTTACCACATACCTTTGCAGAGCACTTCATAAGGATTTTTGTGTGTGTGTGTGTGTGTGTGTGTGTTTAGATAGTTCTCTTATATGCTTTTTAGTTCTCTGCTTGTCTCCAACATAGGGATCTCTGGTCAGCTTATTTGTGTAAGTACCTATCTGTCAGCATAAATAACCCATTCTGCATCAAGCTTTACATCTTGAAACTAAGAACAAAAAATATGTTCTCAGCTGTTTTTCCCTAGCAAGCATAAGGAAAACTTCCCACACTAATTTGCACAGAGAATATTATTTAGAAATTTTGTATGGGACTGCTAAACTATTTTTTCTAAATTATAAACCTTATTTTTCCTTCAGGTTTTGAAATGTAGGTATGTAAATAGTTCAAAAACACATCACCAGTCAACTCTGGAACTATTTCCTACCAAGAGCTAGAAAAAGCAGCCCTGAACAGGGTACTTGTGATGTTGGACCACGTGAGCTCCAGTGATCCCTTGCAACCTAAATTATTCTATGAATCTATAACTCTGTAATTCATTCACCTTCAATTCATATTGGTTTGCTTCTCTGGCTTATTTATAATAGAAGGATTGAGTTTCTAAAAATAAGTTTAAAACAGAGAACATATATAAGTAGTTCAGTTTCTATTCTTATCCAGTATGGAGCTGATATAAAAAGTGATAATACTCAGAATCCCAAAAGGAGTGTTGGTACTAATACTTTGATAAGAGATCATCACAGACAATGCACAAACCTCCTAACACTCAAAGTCTAGACAGCTCCTTTTTTACTGCCATAAGATATCCTGACCTTACTGAGTTACATACACTTCAGTGTGAGTTTTTTATTGTCTATATGAGGTGAGGTGTTATCTTTACTCAAAGTGGATGCTAAACTTGGGATGTGTACTCTGCCTTAATTCATGCCATCCAGTATCAGCTTATGCTTTTAATTTCATCTATGCATTCAGCTGAGACAAGAGGATGGCAAGAATTTGTACTGGGATTTTAGATGATGATGATGATGATTATTATTATTATTATTATTATTATTATTATTATTATTATTATTATTGTGGTGGTTATTATTATTATAGCAGGATGAAGGGAATACAGTTATATTCCCAGCCACCATCTTATTTATTGTTTATTGGCATTTACAGATTTTTTGATTTCTTTCTGATGATCTAACATATTCCTGAGGGTTTGAATACTATTGCAGTCTTTTACAGAGCAAACTGGCCAATAATGGCAAAGAAAATTAAGAGTAGCCCTACTACAAAGCGACAAAATCAAGTAGCGGTTCAAACAGATTAGCAAAAAAGCTAGGTAAGGGTGTAGTGCATTGGACTGAATTAGTGGTCACCCTTCTTGCCTACTTAAAAGAGATTCCTTGGGAAGTGTGGATTATGGTATTTCTTAGTCTAAATAGTGTAATGGCCTGAGGGCAAGAAGTGAAAACGCACCTTCAGAAGTCAAAAGGTTTACAAATGCACTAGCTGTGCTCCAGCTATCCAGCAAAGACTATATGCACCAAATACACATTTTACATGTGTTTTCTTCATCCAGCGATGTTTGCTGGCTCTAGAGTACTGACTTGATCTAAAAAGCTTCTTCAACATCTGCAAGCTGAACCGGGAGTAGTAGTGGGAGAATTGTGGCTTCAGTTTGCACAGACAAAAAGGGGTTGCTTGCTTATGTGTTTGAAGTCAGGGTACATATTCCTGGGAGCAGCATTCAGCCTAAAGAAAAATGGTAAGAAGTTCATCATACTGAGTATAATTATTCCTAAAAGCTTAGCACTTGATCCAACGTCTATTTAAGTCAATGGGAGTTTTTCATTGACTTGGGGTGATAGATAAAACGGGCCATTAGTGCACCTTTTAAAAGCTTCGCTGAACAAACACCACTAGGTGATTCAGGCCTTTTGTATAATGCTTTTCCTTCTCTCATATACTGCATTTATCTCTACTCTTGTCCTTTACAGCAGCTTGTATTGTAACACCTTCTCCTGCATCACTATCCTGGGTTTAGCAGAAGCAGTCATTTTTCTCTTTCTTGGTAGCTGGTGCAGTGCTGTGTTTTGACTTTCAGCTGGGAACAGAGCTGATAAAAACGATGTTTTGGTTTGGCCAAGGACTTTGTGGGCCTCATGCTCTGCCAGGGAGGAAGGAAGCTGGGAGGAAGCAGAGACAGGACACGTGACCCAAACTGACCAAAGAGGTATTCCATACCACAGCACGTCATGCCCAGGAGGTAACTGGGAGTGAGCCGGAAGGGCGAGGGGGACTGCAGGGTTGGAGGAGGTATCGGTTGGTGCTTGGTCAGGCTGGGGGGAGCAAGTTATCGGTCGCCTGGTGATGAGGTGTTGTATTCTCTTCCCTTGTTATTTCCTTTATCATTACTATTATTGGTGGTAGCAGTAGTGATTTGTGTTATACCTTAGTTACTAAACTGTTCTTATCTCAACCCGTGGGAGTTGCATTCTTTCTGATTCTCCTCTCCGTCCCTCCAGGAGTAGGGGGAGGGCAAGAAAGGGGGGGGCAGTGGTTAACAAGCTGTCTGTCTGGGTTTAAACCACGACAATCACACAAGGAGAAAAATTCTCAGCCTTTTTTCCTTTTAGTAACAGAGAATCTGCTCCATGAGTGTCTTCATACCACACAGCTCTGAAGATTAAGAAACTTTATCAGGGCATATAATGGTAAATTTGGGTATTCAATGCTGTATAACCAAACTTTAAAAAATACCACTATTTAGCCTTTAAATTCTAATTAAAACATTTCGTTAAAGAATTTTTCATTAAAGAATTTTCTCACATTCAAGTACAGCAGAGTGAAACAACTGGACAATAAGCATGGATTCAGCAAATGAAAAGTACTTTCAATTTTTGTGCTTATGCTAGATATTTCCCAGGTGAGAAAAGAAAGAAAAAGAAAACAACTTTAGAAGAGTCATCTGCATTATACCAAATTGCCATTCCATTCTGTCTTCTAAAAAGATCTTGTTAACTGATGGTAGTGTGATTTAATAACTAAGATTAGGTAAAAGTAGATACCATGGAGAAAACACATAGCACAAAGCAGTAATAATATGCAGCAGCAGCAGGATCTCATTTGCTGCCCACATACTGTAAACCTGTGGGTAACTCCATATGTGTTAAGTGCCCCGTATTCAATTCACAGCAAAACAGAGCCAAAAAAAGGCAATGACTGTAGCTGTCTGGACCAGTAACACCTCCCACGTGCAATAGCACTTACTTGTTTGCTTTTAATTGCTTTTTATTTTTTTTTTTAATTTCATGTTTACTTGAGATGTAATACACCCAGCCCTGACATCATTGTCCATGTCGGAATATGGGCAGACAGGTCAATGTTAAATGCAGTTTATCCACCTTTCACTGCTGGTCTAGGCCACCAAATACAGATGTTGCCCTGCTGTTTTAGTTGCCATTGCACCACTGGAATAGAAATGCT